TATAATACGTAGTATTAATGTACAATAATATATAAAAATAAATTATATATATTTTATTATTTTATAATTTGAGTTAATCTAACCTTTATTACATAAAGGTTAGTAATCAATCCATGATTGCATATCTTGAATCTTCCTAGATATAATACGTAGTATTAATGTACAATAATATATAAAAATAAATTATATATATTTTATTATTTTATAATTTGAGTTAATCTAACCTTTATTACATAAAGGTTAGTAATCAATCCATGATTGATTTTAGGATACTTATTCTGAGAAGTCATCCCAACGAAATAGATTTGTCTCAAGTGAAGTAATGTTCTTATTACCAAGGAGAGAACAAGGAGAGAACTTTTCTTCTTTTAATAAACTGAGGAGGCATTATCTCGTTTAGGGTTTGTTGTTGCATAAGAGACTTACATTTATCACAGTGCTTTCGTCCATTTTTCCTGATAATATGCTGATATATTCTGTACTTAGCAATTACATTATAAAGATAAAAGAATCCTTGTCAATATAATAACTAAATTTTATCACCTTTGTATATTTTTTTAACACCTTTTCAAAAATTAAAACTCGTTCTCCAGTTTTGGAAAATTTGTATATCATTAAATAAAAGTGCAACGTAAGTGCTCTAAATTGCTTCTTTGATTTTAATTTAGTTACATTCCTTATCTGTTCAGCTTCGATTTGGTCCAGAAGGAGGATTCTAATTAGGAATTCTTCAAAAATGAGCATTTTCACTCCTTTCAATAGTTTACGTGCTTATTGCTCAGTTAGGGTTAGTTATAGGAAAAGGGTTCTGTGATCTTAAGCATTGCTCCTTTCTAGCAAACCTAATTACAACGTTACATTAATTTAAATTAAATGTTTTAATGGGTTTTTGAGTAGAAGTGCATCTCAATTGTTAATCCACTATCTGACAATTCAAAACTCCGCTTGTGTAAGGAAGGGAAAATAAACCAAATATGTTATATATATATGTGTAATCAGATGCATATAAAATATAATCATAAGGCACTATGCGCTGATTAACTATCAGTCCTCCTACTCGTGTGTTTAATTCTGCATATTCCTTTAACCTTACTCCTGTATTATTTAATAAGGTTTAACATTTGGCCAGTATGACAGGACAACACAGTGCACATGTGAAACATTGCTATATGGATGGACACATATTGCTAATTTCGTAATTATATGAAAATACATTAGTGAAATTAATTCTGCACTAGAATGTATTATTTGCAAAATTCCTTTTACGGTAAACGCGCTTGGCCAGTATTCTTGGTTCGTACGAGTCTATGTGGTGACCTGGAATCAAGAGTAAAATTAAAGGCAAATATGAACTTCAAACGATACCAAATGGAGTTTGGAAGCATTAAAGGTTTTACATATTATTTTAAGATTTTATTTTAATTCAAAATTTGTGGTGTGGTATTGTAATTACTTAATGGATTACATTATAATGAAGTTTTCATTAAATTTTGTAGTTTTTAACGGAGTACTTTTTAACCATTATGGATGCTTAAAATTTGAAACAACTTAGTAAAATATTAACTCAACCAAAAATCAATCAATAATAAAAAGATTAAGTTACTATTACTTTTAAGGTTCTCTATAAGGAAGACATTGATTTTCCATAAACGATTTTTTACAAAACAAATACATTTGTTACTCTAGTAAGACTATGGTAGATTACTGAGTGTAAATTATCATTGAAAAAATAAGCGTTTATTATTTTGGACTTTCAGTTTTGCTTATGTGAAATTGTCTACTTCATTCAACAAATTTTTGGAAACTAATTTTTTACTAATCGGCAGGAACTGACTTTGATTTACTGAATGAAAATATTTTGTATACTCATCACCAGGAATTGCTTTAGGTATATCGGTTTAAGCTTTTAGCTGATTGGGTTGGTATCTAAAATATTTCCGTTCATTGTAAATTTCGATATAAACAGTAGACAAAGCTACAAAAAACCAAATACAAATACTGAGAATGATTGATAAGCATATTGCCTTTTTGACAAATAAATCTCGTACCGGGATAGTATCATGATATCTTGATATTGTACCTCGCTAAGAAAGCAACTAACCTATTCTCGATTTTTTTCAAATCCGTCAAATTTCGGCTGCTCTTATCCGTAGAATTTCCAGATAATATTCTACGTTCGCTGACCATCACTGCTATTATAAGACAATTTCCTTTGATTTGAAGAAAACAGTCAGCATAGTCTTGATTTGAATGATCTGAAAAACTGAAGACGATTGATAAGAATGATGTCTATTTGGTAAATATCGTGATGGTTTTATGCCGCAGCTCGCGAAGTTCTTCTCAAATTAGTCGCAATCCGGCTGTCCTGAAACGTTGAACTTGCAGATAATAGGTATTCCACTTTCACTAATCATAACCTAACTTATAAGACAAATTTAATATGAATAATTTCCTTTAAATTGAAAGAAACCATCAGCATTGTCTTGATTTCGCTGATCTGAAAGCGGAGTCTTTTTCTTTCTGACGTTTCGTTTTCACTTTGTCGTTTCGTTTTCAGCTTGTTTTGGAAACGTCAACAGTTTTTATCGCCAGTTATAATGTCTATTTCAGACTTAAAATGCATGTTGTGAAAATACATATGGTCATATAAAAAGAATTTATATAAGGATATATAAATTTCAAACTCAAATTTTAACAATACGAAATAAATGCAAATTTTAGGATTAAAAATTTAAAATTTAAATATAATTTAAGTGTTGGTAGTAAATTTGTTTACGTTGCCGGTACGCCTTTCAACACAAATAACAACAAAATATAAGACAAGCGAGCAATTGTTGAAGGTGTAAATTTGAAATTCCAACGCTTTGTAATTTTTCACTCTATTTCCAGTAACATTTCCGTTTCCGGCATTCGTCATGCCTTACTGACTGCACAGGGAGAAGAACCGCACAAACGCACATGTACACTTTCAAGTGCCCCTACTCCCGAACTAACACACAATCAAACAGACAATCGCACAGCTTAGCTTAGCATTTTATCATCAAAGCAGATTAATATGAATATTTTATTATCATTTTAAATTTTTTAAGACATCAACTAATGGTGCCAAATTGTTAATGTTACCAGGTGCAACAGCTCCAGCAGTTCCAACAGCAGCAATTGTAGGCAGCACCAAGCACAGCAATCTCTCCCAATAATTCCAGCATGTTTGTAAGCAGTTTAGGAAGCTATGCCCAGAAATATGCTTTATGGCTTTTTGGTTAAGTGTTGCTCTTTTTAATTTTTTTTTTATTTTGTTTATTTTTTGTCAGTTCTCCTTAATACTCGAAAGACGCCTGAATTTATACTTTGTAAAATGCTGCAACTGAAAGAAATTGTAGAAATGTGGCGAAAAAGAAGAATTTATAGCCCCAGGTTCGTAAAGGGCAAGTGTGGTAAATGTGTTACTTACAAAAATGTTCCGCATACGCTGAAGAATTTTTAGTGCAAAATGAAACACTACTGTTTCGAATGATTTAATTTTTTCCCCAAATTTCTGGAAACAAACAAATAAAACTAAAATTATTTCGTTTGCATACCTCTGAGTCTCTTTAAACATTTTAAAACAATATTTTATATCCGTTTTTAATTTAATATTAAAGCTAAAAAATTTTTACTTCACTTTATTTTTACTCCCATTTCTTTATGTGCCAAAAAGTAGACCTCACCAAAATATATCTTTGATATCGAGCGGCTTATATACATGAAAAAGAATAAAAATAAATTACTTTTTCTTAATTTTTTCCTTTTTTGTTTCTGATTTTAAATAATAACGTTGTTAACACAACGTGTACGAGCAATAAATTTACTTATTGAATTTTCAACAAAAATACAATAAAAACAGTGTACACCTACAAAATGCCGGCACGTCACGCCTATTATACTGGCGGCGCTACTCTATTGAACGGGAAATAGGCAGTAGTACCAGTACAAAAATTTCAAGCAGGCACGATTTATAAACGCGCGGTTTTGTTACACACTTCAGTGGCGCGCAGTTCAAAATAAATTTAAATCGCCTGAAAGTATGCTTTAACCAGTTTTTTACGCAATTTAAACAGTTCCCTTTTTTTTATAAGTGCAATACCGCTGTAAAACTGTCTGAAATATTTACTGGAATGCATGTACATTTTTTTACTCCTTTTATATTTTGATTATTACGTCTTTGGCCCCGGTAGGAAGAAACCACAACTGGATACGTGCTATCTATACTTAGCGTACGCTGTTAATGTTGTTGTTGTTGTTTTTGTTGCCATTACTTTGAATTTCTCAGAGTGTCTGTACTTGCAATTGTTCATTGCCAAAATGCCACAAGTTGAGACCGGAAGTCGAATGTACTAGGTCACGTAATTCAAATAGAGTTTTCACAGTTGAATATTGCATGAAGTGCAGCAATTCTTCCATTTAACTTTGGTGAGTTAATAATTTAGTTAATATTGCATTCCGTATAATTATTTCAAATGTTTCACTTAAATTATAAATGTCAGCACTACATACTTGTGGTATATGAAAAATGCTTCCGCCTGCAATAAGCGAAATAAAATTCAAGTAAGGACTTTTGTTTTTCAATTAATTCAATCAAGTATAATTGCGATATGTAGAAGAATTAATCAAAATATATGGATCTAAAAATATGAGACTATCCCCAAAGATTCAACTCTTTCACATTTTAAACTTAAATAATTTTATTAGACTTTATTAGACAAGGACAAAGAATATAAATATGAAAAGTAATGGTATGATTTTTAAAAAATCTACTGGCTCCAATTAATATACTAGTTGAAGCGATAATGGAACTTAAAAACTTCAAGGTCTTAAGAGACAATCGTTACAGACATTCTTGATAGAGTTAAAGTCTTGCATATACACTATGGGCGTCTAGTAATGTCAATGTTGACATTTTATTTAAGTGTTATATTGTTACCATTTTAAAACAAGGTCTTTTTGATTCTCTATATAGTCAGCAGAAAATTTCTGCTTCCTACTTCCTTTATAATCATAACGATGATGATGGTGTCCTGTTCAGCTACGTCATCCAGACAGCTTAACGTCTCTCACATGTTTATGTACGTGGCACATGTTCTAATCTCATTTCTATTCCAGATATTACATTTCCCCGTAATATTAGTGCTGAAACTGAGCCTCTCTTAATGGTGTTTGTATTTATGGTAGGTAGGTTTATTTTTTGTGTGTTCTTAAGAGACAGTGTCTACTTAGTGCATCACTCTTATTCTGCATTATTCTCGACAGACAAAATTTATGAGTTTTCTCTTTGAAAAGTAGTAGATAGTTTTAGTTAAGTTGTAAGTATCAACTTCTCTGCCTTTCTTTATTAAAGAATGTACAAGCTAGCGAGCTATGATAACTGCCAGTCCAACTTAACGAATTTCATTGTTTTTTGTCATATAACATATGTTACATTATTTCTCTCCAGTCTTCTATGTTCGGGAATCCAAAACAATCAAAACTTTGTTTTGACTTTTAGTGAGTTTTGCTTGCAATTCAGTGCGTTCACAGAACCGGTGCTATATTTCGCTATTGTCAATATTACCACTTAACTTTTATTGAATATGTTAATATTATTAAAGATTTTTAATCACCATATTCCACAATATTTCTGCTTTTTAAGAGATTTATGTTTTGTGATGCTTCGGCAAATTAGCAATCATTGCTAATTATTTGTTTATCATCACTACCACTATCATCTTATATCACAAATACACATATATATTCAACTAAATTTATATTTCTTATTTTCTCAAAATGAAAAGTTTTGTATTTCCCAAAATATATTTATAACTAAATTTAGTTGTTTAAATTTTATAATAGAATTTATTGGGACCTATTCCAGAATCCTATTCAAATAATCCTAATAAGATTTGAAAAAGTATTCATTTGATATTATGTTCAAATGAAATCAACATAAATTTTATTTTTAAGAGAACAATTCAATTACTGATTTACAGATTTAATTAAAACATAATCATGAAGTGAACTTCAGTTACTCGAAATTTTAACAGAACAATGGAGAATAAAATTGTTTTTATATTTTTACTGAGCTCCAGTGTATGTCTGAATCCATGAAGTATAAATGCATAAATCGTTGATAAATTCCTTTTTTCACCAGAAATCATAAAAGCTAGAGAAGTGCATAGAAAATTATTCTGGTTCCAAATTTAAGCAAAAGCTAATAACAATCTCCAGAAAGAATCATTCAAGTAAATCACAACATTGGAACAAACCAAAATTCTACGTGTTGTGAAAGTAATAAAGCTACGAGTATTCCATGGATGTACCACAACGATTCAAAAATATTGTCTATTCCCATTCATTCAAATGCAAATGTACGGTTTTTGTTATTATTGGCAATTTTGTTGCACATATTATGCACGGAGGAAGCCCACAATGGCAGCAGCAGCACAAAACCCAAGAATGCAATATTTGATTAGAGGTGCAACAACACCAATGAGCATAATCAAGGTGAATGCGGGCAAGGTCTGGCACATCGAAGCAGCATTTTAATTCCAAGCCCAAAATGAACATGCAAAACTTAATAGAAATATGCAATTCTGATATCCTGAACTAGAAAGGATAAGAGTATATGTTAAGCTAAGGATTTTCACAATTTAATGTGAGTTTATGTATGTGTAGAAGTGTGTGAACCAGGACATGCTTTCTTTTCACCTTGCAGTTTGCTGGTCGTTGTTACTTTCATTGAAATGTGCAAAGTCAAAATAAATACGGAAATGAAATAGAAATATGGAACACTTTCCTTACTAAATTATTTTTCTCAAATTATAATTAAAACCTTCTATACTTAGTTTTGAATTTGTATGTTTCTGCGTGATTCAAAATTGTGATTATTGATGGATTATTTAAACACGTTTACGAAACATTTAGATAAAATTAATTCAAATGAAGCAACCAAGACCCATTTTACATGTGTAAAAAATCTGACACAAGGAAACCTCAAGGAAGCACTCGAGAATATGCATAATATCTGCTAGATCTTAAACCTAGTGAAAATAGAATCGAAATGCAGTTAGTTCTTGAAGCTTTAGATAATGGAAAAGATTATAGTTCTTACAATTAATGAAAAGCAAATACGAATCCAGTTCTTTAAGTGTTGGAAAATGTTGACGTTAACCAGGTATTCTCTAAACACTCGACAGGTGATCTCGTCTATAGCTTCAACCTACTGGAAATAAAATCCAATTCGAAAAATTAGTGCAGTAGAGAGTGGTAAAGTGCTTACCAATAAATCATCCTGTCAGGAAAATATGTAAAGTGCATCATCATTGTCAACACAGTAAAGGCTAAGCAACAACAACAAACAGTCAAAGATGTGCAATTAAATTTTGCACACATTTACACAAACATATTACATCTGCATAATTATTTCTTCTTAAAGTATTGTATTTAGTAATTAAGTCCTGTAAAAGTACTAATTAATACAAAGTATCATATTCAATATGAAGTTAATTCTTACATACTTACGATTATCTTCTAATTTTCAATAATTACTTAAATTGGATATATTAAAATAAATAAATTATTTTTTATATTTAATTAATCAATAATACCTTCAACAGATGCATAAGAATCACTGTAAATATATCCTTTAATACTGCTGTAATGTGGGGTTTATGTAAGTTATTAGTATGTTTCAAATGTGTTTAAAGTAAAAAAGTTTTTTCTTTAATAAAAATGATATACTTTAACGAAAAACTAGGAAGCCACTATAAAAAAGTTTGAAATTAAATAAGAAGTTGAAAAAATGTCTAGACAACATTAAAAGACTAATGAAGATAATTAAGCAAAGTTGTCTATTCAACTGCCAAACTTTATTTAAGCAGAATGGCCAAAGGATCTACTTTTGTTAATCATTTATTCGTCATGCAAATTATTAGCAGTACGAAAGGATATAACTTTCCTTTAACACTGCTTGTATTAGATTTTACTTAAAAAATTGTTGTAACTATTTTCATTGCATAAAATATCAAACAAAATATACATAAAGTTTGGAACTAACGTTTCCACTAATATACATATTATAATAAAGTATGATAAATTTTCGCGTGAGATTTCAAATTAGATGTTAGAAATCAAATGTGAATAGGTTATAGTCATCGGAACAAATCAAATTAATTATAGATATCTTATTACAGTAAATATATACAGACAAGAGAGAAATTTTAATTTCTAGGAGCTCTTCTAGAAAAAGCAGAGATAATTCTAAAGTAAATAGTAGGCTATTTTAAAAATTGTTGAGAATATTAAAAGAAAGCCAGCTTAAAACTAAGAATAATGGCTATGACCAAGCTTTGGTCGTAAAATTGGCAGCAAAAGTATTTCCAAACTTATTTATGGTAAGAATAGAGATTCATTGCATTTTTAAGTTATGTCTCTCAACATATAACGAAGTCCTTTGGGAGAGGATTGATGGGGTGATATATTTTTTTGATAAGTATAGCAAGTACTTCCATGAGTAAACCATATGCCAAATGTTGAACGCAAAGGATTTAAGGACAGTAAAAGATATAAAACCTGGATTTGCAACTTATGTAATAAGAAGGAATTAATTCTATAAAATAATTTTGAAAAATAGAAATGATTCTTATACGTGAGTAATATGAGGAATGTTGGAAACAAACGACTAATACAACTTTGCAACTAATGCAATGACAAAGAATTCTTCTCTCAATTCAAATAAAATAATTTATGCTTCAAATAAACTATGTACTATATATTTACTAAATTTATTTTTTTTGCTCATATTTTTTAACACAACAGAGATATGATATTTTATTACCCTTTACTTTTATAATTTGCATTTCGTTATTATTTATCGCGATAATCGCTATAGGTACTCCAACATATTGATGCATTCTGCAATCACTTAAACAATAATAGTATATTTTACATATAGTAATAAATAACATAGCATATCGTTAAGAAGCACTTACATTATTAAAAGTTAAAAATTTATTTTATTTTTATAACATTAAAATAAATTTACTTAGTTGCTCAGATAATCGAAGAGCTTCTTGAAGAACACAAATTTATACGATAAGCACTCAAAAGTAAAAATTATAGCAGCAATTAATAAGAAAATCATCAGCAAATAGAAGGCTGCACTCAGGTGATGTAGTCCAAGTGGGAATACATCTCTTTGATTCAATGAAACTGTTTCGTATGTTGTGCTTGGAATATAGTTATAATTAACATACTCGTTTACTATTTTCTTGGTGATTCCGTGGATATCCAATTCCATTATAATTTTGTTAAACGCATGTACCAGAAATGAATTTCGTTTGAAATATATACAAAGTGGATCAAGCATCATGCCATCTTTAATCACTAAAAAATTACCGCGTTCTTCTGTATTTTTACTAAGATAATATGTCAGTATTTCAATATTAACTAAAGCAGCAATTTTTTCATTGGTATCCCTGATAAATTCAATAGTTTCCCAAAGAGTGAAATCCTTAATAACACCAATTTTTAAATCAATATAATATTCTTTAAAACGTATATGACACAAATCTGATACAACACCATATTTCTGTTTCTTCATTTCTTCTGCATTTGAAGGCAATGGTTTAAGTGGTTGATTATGCAAAAATTTGAAATAAGATCCTTCGAAGGATATTCGATAAAAGAATATCATTAATAACCATGCAATTAATAAAAGTTGCACAAATCCCTGGTGGACTTCTAGATGCTTACTCAGTAGCTTTAGCAAAATTCGTATATTCACTAACGAGAATAAAAGCAACCAAGCCTCTATTTTAAATGGATAAAACAATACCTCCAGAGCTGTGTAATGTCCACCAGGCTTAAGCATAACACGTACTTTTGACATGAAATACTGCTTGGAACAAGGCAATAATCGCATACGAAAATGAGTGCAACTCGTACCTCCAAGAGCAAAATCTGCACGTCCTTCTGCCAGCTTAAAAACAATTTGTACTTAAATTATTAATAAAGTTCTTGAAATATTTAATTCCATTTTAAAAACTACATATAAATAAAATAATTACAACATAAAATGAAAACAAAAAAAAATCTGTTACATACCTCTTTAAATACTCCCGTAGTTGACAAATTAGGAAAAACATACCCAATATGCTGACTATCGTATATATGATATTCGTAACTAAAATTCATTTTAATAGCAATCAGTTCAACTAGTTTTCCTTCAATGCCCGAAATACGTTTAAGACCCATTTCATTGGGATGCAAAGTAATATATGGTTTAATTGGTGCGATAGATATCTTAAGAGGACAGCCGTTGAAATTCGAAAGCTTTGATGGAAAAAATTTAGTAAATTGCATCCGTTTTTTGGAAAGGAAATGAACATCTTTCAATTCATATATTTTAACAGGTTTCTGGGATTGACAATCACCACTTGAGTAAGGAAAGTATGTAAACATTTCCATGCCAACTTCTTCACTGTAAGTCAGTATATTCGCATTCACAATCAACTTGACGAAGAGTCTTTCGAACATACGTGCCATGCAAGTACTGTGCTGTTCGGTATTATTCCCTGAGTGCAAAACAATCAAATAATAGATCTTGTGTGTGACAGTATTTTTGTGTTTATCTAAGAGATAACTATTAATTTAAAAACTTTTAAAAATTTCTTATTGAATGATAATCAAAAATGTGCTTACCTGAACGAATTGAACGAATCCACAAACAGTAGATGTATATGAATGAGAAAATTCATATCAAATAGATCAATATTGTCTAAAATTATGGTATTGTCGACATTATTATATATTAGGTTATTAGCCAAATATTGTAACATTTGCTCAGATTTCTGAGTACTTCCTTTTGTCTGTATTAAAATGTTTCTCTGATCTTTAATAGAGTTCAATACCATATAGGTCAAATGACTGACAATTAATCTATTAGTATTCTCTTCGTTATTAATATTAGAAAAATTCGTTGCTGTTACAACGGTCCAAATAGCATAAATCAGTATAATTTTTAAGCAAACCACACTATACATGTCTGCCTCTAGTTTTTTTCCAATGAACTTTGTTTAATTTAAATTGAAAATATATGAAAGTATTCCTAAAAACAAAAGTCATCAGCTTAGCGATGCACTTAAAAAATTTGATTGATATCTTAAGTGCTTTTATAGTATTTGGAATGAATTTGATCGATTTGGTTTTTGATTACATATTGAATGAGTATTATTTTGTGGTCGAAAGTCCATCATTAATGGTGCCTTTTATAGTCCTTATAGTGTTTAGCATGGCAGTATAAGTTTTGATTCAAACTAAAGCGTTTGTCATCAGAAATCACATATAATGCCTTCAAATTGAAACAAAGTTTAATTGTGAGTATTGACTTTTATAAAATAAGGCAAAAACAAATTTTGAAGAGCTTAATATATAAATTTTTTAACAGTACTGAGGGAACTCTTCGACTCAAAGTTTAACTAAATAAATACATTTTAATATTACAGAGTTTTTTGTTTACAAAAAGATAATAATAAATAAGTAAAGTTTTAAGTATAATTTTAATTTGAAATTTCACATGAGTTCAAAAAAGTGTTAACTTTAACGATTTTTGTACTTTTCCGGCTTATAGTGAAAGTGTACTGCTTATATTATTACTGCGACATAGTCTTTAACAACATATTCATTTATATAAACTAGTTCATCTCTAACTTCAATTTGGCAAAAATTTCAAGCTTAGCCCTTTCTATTCTAATGCGGTTCAACTCATAGAAAACGATATTGTTCTACTTTTAAAATAACTAATCAACATTCAAAATTATTTTAGTTGTACTGCCGTTACAATCCTAAAAAGAACCATTGCCATCTATGTGTCACAGCTCCAAAGATTCTTTAGAGTATATATCTGAAAACTGTGCAATGTCAAAGTAACTGTAAGTGTTATCAAAAATGCTTTCTAATAAATGAAGAAAGAGTTTATAAATTGAATTATAGCTTCTTCATTGAAGTTAATAGTTCAAAAAAGTTCTTTCGAATTTTTTATGAACTAATTCTTTCTTTTACAAGTCAATTGCTTCATTAAACTTGACACGAAATCTAGGTATAAGTAGGATTTAATGATTTAATAGACAATTCTTCCATCGGGTCTAGTGTGAAATAAAAAGAAATCATTCTTAAAAATTATTAAGAATACTTATTCTTATTATTAAACTTTTCTTCATCTTTTGTCTCCAGTTGAACTGGCTATCTAAAAACCAATGATAACCTATCATTGGTAAGATAGTAAAACTTAAATAATCCTTCTCCTATATAAAAATATTCAAACTACATATAATAACTTATACACCTAAATAAAAGCATTATTTATAACACTCAAATACTGACATTGATTTTTGTAAAATAAAACAAACTGAAATTCAAATTATTCCGAAAATTGTAGCCTCGTTAGTAAAATAATTTCAACTAGACTTTAAGCACTTAATACATTTCAAAATGAATTTTACCCGGAATGACTTAAATATTTGTTTTTACTTTCAAAGTCACTTTATTATTATCATATCCATTAACCCTTCAAAACTAAAATGCACTCATATAACTTTTTAATAATGTTTATCTTTTTATTTAGCTTCGACTTGCTGTTTCGTCGAAACCATACCTAATTATTTAAGGCATGAACCATACAAGCAACTAGGTTTTAATTTAAAAGCAATAAGCAAACCACCACTGCAAAGCATTATGAACATATCTGCACTGATTAGAGACTTTAATCAGAAATCTGGAGAACAATATATTAGCCAGAATTGGTTTGTGGCATATGCATTAATCTACGTTATCAAAAACTACTTCTTGAAGCGGGCTTCGCATTTCACTCTCACACTTAGCTGTCGTGATTATCACACTTGCAGTTTCTACAATGACATCATGGAACCACTATTTCAACTATGGGATATGCAAATAGTACAGTTAATAGTGGTACATATGAACTCAACGACAAGAATACCTGGTGATAGGATATATAATATGATGTTAACCGATTCCTACACAGCTTTCTTGTAAGCGTTTAATAAATACTATTAATTAACAAAATTAATTTTCTAATTGCAATACTATATTATTTTATATAGAAAAACTGATATCGCCAGTTATACTCGGGACAATAATAATAATGAATACTATTTCATTTTTTTGCAAACACCGGATCATCTGCTAAAGGATGAAATGCAACAAATATTTAATTACTGCTGGTTGCATTATCTCATAAATTGTGTTGTCCAAGTACAAACTGAAAGGGGTGAAGTACTACTCTACACCTATTTTCCATTCACAGCGAAATACTGTTATAAAATAGAGCCAGTTTTATTTAATCAATTTAAAGGTGCGGGATTTACGAAATCAGAATTATTTCCAAGAAAACTTAAAAACTTTTACGGCTGTAAGCTTAAAGCTGCTTTATGGCATTTAGTTCCTTTGGTAACCTTAGAGACCAATGTAGAGGGCCAGGTCAAGATAAACGGAGGTTTTGAAGGTAATATGTTAAATGTGTTAGCACAAAAACTAAACTTCTCGGTTGAAATCTGGATTCCACCAGAAGCTGTAAAACGTGGCACTCTAGTAAATGGAAGTTTTAATGGAGCTATTGGAATGGTATTAAAATAATTAAGTATATTTTTAACTTACCAAATGTTGTGAATTTTTTAGACAGAAAAACATACTGCTGATTTAACAATTGCTGGTTTTCGCCAAACGCTCGAACGTTCCAGAGTTGCTTCTCCCACAGTCGTTTATCGGCAGGATCACGTAGTAGCGGTAGTATATAAGGCTGCATACCAATTCAATTCTTTTGAACTACTAGTGCATCCATTCACAACCTACGTCTGGACAATACTCTTAATAACAGTAATATTAGCTCTCATTACACAGTATTTTGAAAACACGGTCTTGTTAAAATCAAGAATCAAGACCAAGGACACGTCGAAAAGTTTTCTACACATATTTCGAATTCTACTTGGCCTACCTGTTTTGCAACTAACAAACAATTCTGGAAGACGACTTTTGTTAATACTTTGGTTCTGGGTTATGTTTATAATACGT